AAACTACAAAACAATTAGCCAGACATGGTGGCAGGTGCCTGTAATCCCAGCTACTCAGGAGGCTGAGGCAGGACAATCGTTTGAAACCGGGCGGCAGAGATTGCAGTGAGCTGAGATGGCATCACTGCACTCCAGCCTGGGCAACAGAGTTAGATTTCATCTCAAAAAAAAAAAAAAAAAAGAAATAAAACAATGAGCATGTTGGTAAGGGCCTATGCTTGTGTCAGTGACAAGCAGAGGTCCCGGAATCAGCTCAGACTTGTAGACTCGAGCTCTGTTGCAGGTTGGATTGCCCCTCTGACTTTGTTCCCTGTACAACTGGAATCAGCCAGCTGTGTTCCCCGGGTGCCCAGAAATCACAGCCCACATCCTCGAGAAGCCAAAATGAGAGCTGGGGGTTGAGATGAGTGGTTGCTTCTGGCCGTGAGCAGGCTTTCAAGTCATTAGGGCACTCTGGCCTTTCCTGGAGGTGGTCTTGGAGCCATTCCTGCCCCTTTCAAGAGTAGTTAATGCCCAGCTCTATTTACAGAAAATTGGGGGAGATGATTGCTCATGTGGGTGAGAAGAATCACCTCCCATGTGGGGGTCTGCATAGAACACTCCATTGGCAGACCTGGGTGTCCAAGGCATGTGGCATTTTACAGACTCTGGGTGCCACCCCGAGCTGTCCTGAGGGTCCCAGGCGAGGTGAGAACTCCCAGAGCACCTGCTGCCTGGGTGGGGGTTGAGGCATAGTCTTGGGGGTTCGACCTGGAGTTCTGAATGTTATTCATTGCCTTGGAGAGGAAGGACAGGAGGCAAAGCCAAGACCCTGGGGCTGGACAAACTTGTGTGGTTGAAACTTACTGTGAGAGCTGGGGTTGAGTCTGCCTTCTGGGGAGGGCTGCGGCACCTACCTCGCAGGGCTGTTGTGAGGAGCCATGTAACTGTGATTTTGAACTGTGATTCTGGAAGGGCGGTGTGCGTGTCCCTGGGGGTGTGCCAGGGGAGTGAGGATCAAAGGCCAGGGAGACGGCCTCACTCAGATAGCTGAGTGGGAAAGCGCTTATCTCTAAGCATGGAGGGGTATGTGGTGGGACAGGAGGAATTGTGGCTGGAACTTTTGGGCTAGGGGTTTGGAAGACTCTTTGGGCAATGCCCCTGGACCCCCTGGGGGGACGCATTCACGCTTGCCTGAGAGGCTGGACGTGCCTGGCTGTGCGTTTTGAATGCTGTGTGCTTCCTGCCTTTGCCTGGCCTGTGGGCAGCGCCTACATGTGTCCGTCTTCAAAAGGCCCCTCTGGGTGGTGTCCTTTCCCCCAAAATATTAGGCGCCAGCCATCAAAGACACTGCATTGTTCCCTCCTAACTGACACCATTTGGGCTCAGATGGCAGCAGGCTGGGTGCCCAACACAGAGCCTGGCGAGTGGTAGGTTGGTGCCTTCCTTCTCTGTTGAGTGGACGGATAGCTAATGAAATTGTAACCAGTGACAAGCCTTGATGTTTGTGACCTTTACTAAGCGTTGATTATTTTGCTTTTCATTAACCTGTTAACCATTGCCATGTTGTACTTTATGGACGTATGTATGCTATGTCTGAAAAGCAGGGGCCTTGCTTCGCCGTCATGCGATGGAGCTTTAGTTCTGATGAGAAGCTGTGCTGTGTGTTAGGAAGAGCCTGGCAGACCCGGGGCCGCCTAACTAACCCTTTGCCTCTCTGACCCTTGATCTCCTTTTCCCTAAGCCATGGGTCACCAGAAAGCCTACCTCACAGGGCTGTTGTGAGGGCCGAGGGTGGGTGTGCTGTCACAGTGCTGTACAGATGCTAGCTTTCCCTGGGAATGGGCATATGTGGGGGTTTGTCTTAGAAGCGTGAGTGATGGCTTTGCTAGTCCCAAGTGGATAAAAAGTCAGCCCTGACCTTCTGCTGGGATTGCGCTTCCCACAGCCAATGGCATGTGCAAGCCACTGGTGGCGCAGCCTGCAGGTGCTTAGCCCTGTGGGTCCAGGGTAAATATTTGTTTCATTGAAGAGTGATAGCTTTTCCCTTCCTCAGGGGCCACCCCGCCCCCGTTCCACTGTGGGCTGCTGCTTCCCCCCAGCAGGTTGTAGCTGGCAGGGCCGTGGTGCTCTGGGGTTTGCTGTACCTGTACAGTCTGTCTGCTTGGAGGGGCTTCTGCAAACATTCCTGTATGCCCCTGGTTTGTTAGGGAGGAGGAGTGGGGTGACCTAGAGAGAAAGCAGAGGGGCTTCTGGGTGGCGTGCTTGGGGTACTCACCCTCCTTCACCCTGTGCTCCGCATTTCCTCACCGCCTTTTTCTTGCCCTGGTAGAAGGTGCAGAGGTGGGTTTTGCCACCTTTTGTCGGCCTGGCACCAAGCTCGGGGGTCTTGGACACTTTCCATTCTCTAACTGGAGTGCGGGCCGATTTCCTAGACAAGCCTGCTGAGAATCGGGACAGCTGGTGTCGGAGCCAGGACTGCCCAGCCTTGCACAAACAGCCTGTGCTTTTTTGAGTCCACCAAATAAGACCCCCTGCCTGGTCCGGCTCACCCCTGCCAGGTCCAGCTCACCTCTGCTAGCCCCTAGCAGGTGCAGCCTGGTGCAGCTCCGCCCCCGCCAGGTACCCAGGAGTGCAGGGAGGAGGAAGGAGACTGTGCCCTCCAGGGGACTCAGCCGCGTCAGAGAAGGTGCCGCTGCACTGGCGGGGTCTCCAGACACCCCAGCCACAGGCCGCCTCAGATCCGGGGTCTCTTCACCAGACCTCTGTGTTCCTTTCCAGCTCTCGTCTCTGGCATTTAGGGGAGTAGTGTTCAGCTCTCATGTCCCCACATGCCAGCTGGTGGGGGCTTGAGCTGGGTGCTCCTTCTGCTCCCCACCCCGGCCCCCACCCCATGCCAGCCTCCCTTGCCCCACCCCTTTGTCTCCAGCTTCACAGCCTCAGCGGGCAGGCCCTTGGCCCCTTGCTGCCTCGGGTCTCATCCACCGCCTCATCCACAGTGAGCGTAGCCTGAGCTCACCGTGAGGTCTGGCCACCACACCTTGGCCCCTATCGTGCCTGCCCCCAGGAGCACCCACACGGGTCCCCTGACTCTCCCCTCCCCTGGGCTCTGCTGAGGGGCCCTTGCAGCGTGGCGCCTGGTGTCTGCCCCATGCCCATCCCCTGTTCTTGTGAACTTGGAAACAGCAGGGTCCCCTCCTCAGTGCTCTCACGGGTCTTCACAGCAGGGAGCCCCTCCCAGGAGATTCTGAGTCTGTGTTTAGATGTCTGCTCCTCGGTGGGCCTTGGGGTCCCCTCAGGCTGGGCCTGTGTGTGACCTAGGGCTGGGGGGCTCTATCGGGTGCCTAGCATCCCCTGGAGGTGAGCGGAGCTGGCCCTGGTCTCTTGGGGGTGTGTGGGGACACAGGCTCAGGGAGGTCCCCACAAAGCTGCCCTTGAGCCCCGCTCTGAGCCCCATACGCACCCTGCACCCTGCCTCCTGCACCAGTAGGTGCCTAATAGATGCTCGCCCCCTGCGGAGGGGAAGGTTTAAATGGCTGTGAAGAACTGAATGGGCCGTTTGCCTAATATACGCGCATTTGTTTAAGAGAGAATGGTGTGTTTCTTGGCAGACCCTTCTGAGAAAGCTCTGAACTGGGGAAGGTCTCTGCCTGCTCTGGGGCCTCACTGCCCTCCCTGCCAGTTGGGGGCCAGGCAGTCACGGGTGGGTTTCCCCCAGTGGAAACGCCATATTTTGGAAACATTTATATCTAGGATAAAACTTCATCTGGACCAAAGTGTCTCTGTTGCTGCTGTGGTGCCTGTGATTTTGAGAAATTACAATACATTTGGCAATTTCTAAGGAGAGGGATGTCCCTGAGCCCTCAGAAGCCCCTGCCTTGGGAGGAGGCTGTTTCCCCTGAGAAGTCCTTGTTCCCACCATTGGTGACAATTAGCAATGACCTGTGAGGCACCTGTCGGGTTTGCGATGCAGCCTTAGACATCCAGAAAACCGGGGGTGGAGGGGTGGGGGCGTCAGACCCCAGACCTGGATTCCTTTTATCTGTCTCACCCCCAAAGAATGGTGCATGGGTACCAGGCAGGGTACTTGAACCGCCCTGAGCCTCGATTTTCCCACCTGTTAGAAACGGGGTAATTCATGACAGCGTCTGCTTGGGGGGTGACTGTGAGCCCTGAGAATCCTCGCTGCACACCATAGGCCGACTCGTGAGACTCCAGGTCTGGGTTCAAGGCCCCCCCAACCCCTCTGATTATGTGGCCTGGGAAAATTTGCTGTTTGTAACCTGGAAACCATCGCACCTGCCTGCTCTGGCTATTGTGGGGTTTGGTGAGATTGTTTGTGTGAAATAAATGCTTTGTGACCTGGCACACAGGTGCTCTCACTTCGGCTCTCCCGGTGGGCCCAGTTGGAGACCCGGGCCACTGGGTGCTGGCTGCAGAGATCCTGTGCCCCCTGGAACTGTCTGCGCTGGCCCCAGGGACTTGTGGGCAGAGTGGAGGGCAAGGGGGGAAGCACCAGCCTGCTCTGGGGAGACAGTGGCAGAGGGAGGGGTTTGCTTTTAAATACAGAGACTCAGCAGGTTTGGATGGGAGAGGTTCAGAAGGGAAAGTTTAAAGCTCTCTGGAGGAGGAAGAGGCTGAGTTTTAAGAAAAACAGCAAAGCTGGAGAGGCTGGGCGGAAGAGCTGGGGATAGCGTTTGGAAAGGCCAGGAGTCCTGGGTTCTAAAAAAACCCGGAGGTTGCAGCTGTGGGAGGGCGTCAGGACTAGAGTAATGCTTCCAGAAGTTTCTGCAGGTGGGCAGAGTCCAAGGTAGGGTAGAGGACACCAGAAGTTGAGGGGCCAGTAGGTAGATGGGCAGAGCTGGTGGCTGGGTGCTCCCCTCGCCCCCCATGCTGCTGGAAGCTCCTGAGCACGGACTCGCCCTCCTCTCCCTCCTCCTGGGGCCTGCCTGTCTGTGAACTCTTGTCGGCCAGCGAGGCCGGGGGCAGGTGGCCTTCATCTGCAACTGTGTCTCTCTCAGCCTCCACAGCCACGGGGACGCCCTGCACCTATTCCCACGGGACAGGCTGGACCCAGAGACTCTGGACCCGGGGCACCCCCTTGAGTAGAGACCCGCCCTCTGACTGATGGACGCCGCTGACCTGGGGTCAGAGCTGCGGGCTGGACCCCTGCCCACCCCGCAGGAACCCAGAGGCCTAGGGGAGCTGCCGAGCCTTCGGTGTCTGCATGCGGGGAGTGGTGGGCTGGTTCACCTACCTCACAGGGCTGTTGTGAGGGCACTGTGATTCGGCAAAGCACAGGGCTTGGCACACCCCACTGTGCTCTCAATAAATGTGTTTCCTGTCTTAACAAACAGTGACGGATGTGCTACTAATATAAGGAGAGTGAGTGTTGGGTGTTCTGTCTCGCGGGCAGTGTGATGGGTGGGAGGGCGGGGAGCCGGCTGGAACCCATGCGGCTGCCAGCACCCTGCCCTGCCCACTGGGCTCTCAAGGGGAGGGTGCCTCTTAGAGGTCCGGAGGTTGACATGTGCTTGGATGAACTAACAGCTGTCTGGTCCCTTCCTTCTGTGGATCGTGGGATGCCAGGCTTCTTTCCAGAAGGGACGGTACAGGAGGAGGTGGGACAAGTCTGGCTTCGGTGACGGAGAGGGGTTCTGAGCTGAGCTAACTGCCTTGGTTCCTGGAGCCCCAGAGAGGAAGCTCCCATGGGGCTTCGAGTCTTCCTCCTCCTCCTCTTCCCACATTCCCCAGGGCCGGGCTGAGTGGTCATCATGCTTGAACTGATGGCGAGTGATGGCCAGGATGGCCCAGTCAGGCTGGGGCCAAAGTCATTCCTCAAAATGGCTCCTGAGCAGGGCTGCAAAGGTGGAGCCTCAGACCCGTCCCTGCCTGTGGCAGGAGTGCTGGCCAAGCTGGAAGGTGAGCCTTGCACCCCCAGAGCAGCTGGGCCGAGCAGGGGCACAGGGGCAAGGGGCCAAAGGGGGCATTAGGCCCAAGTCAAGATGGATCCTGAGTCCGCACACCTGGCTTCACTAGAGCAGATGATAAGAACATACTCCCTGTGAGGAAGGAGAGACTGACTGCTTTTGCTGCTACAGCCACCACGGCCACCACAGCTACCACAGCCACCACGGCCACCACAGCTACCACAGC